TTGTATTTCTGTGGTGTCCATGGTTACTTCTCTACTTTTGTTTCTGATTTTATTTATTTGGGTCCAGTTTCTTTGTTTCTTGATGAGTCTGGCTAACAGTTCATCAATTCTGTTTATCCTTTCAAAGAACCAGCTCTTGGTTACATTGATATATATATATATATATTATAATTTTAGTCTCTATGTCATTTATTTCTGCTCTAATCTTTATTATTTCCTCCCTCCTACTTACTCTGGGTTTTTCTTGTTGTTCTCTTTCTAGTTCTCTAAGTTTTAGGATTAGTTTATTATTAATTTTTATTGTTTTTTTTTTTTTGTTTTTTTTTTTGAGGTAGGCTTTTAGTGCTACGAACTTCCCTCTCTGGACTGCTTTTGCTGTCCCAAAGATTTTGGGTTGTTATGTGATCACTTTCAATTGTTTCCAGGAAGTTTTTTTTTTGTTTGTTTTTTTAAAAATATATTTTATTGATTTCTTACAGAGAGGAAGGGAGAGGGATAGAGAGTTAGAAACATCGATGAGAGAAAAACATCGATCAGCTGCCTCCTGCACACTCCCTATTGGGTATGTGCCTGCAACCAAGGTACATGCCCTTGACCGGAATCGAACCTGGGACCCTTGAGTCCCCAGGCCGACGCTCTATCCATTGAGCCAAACCAGTTAGGGCTCCAGGAAGTTTTTTATTTCTTTCTTGATCTTGTTGGTAACCCATTCATTGTTTAATAATATGCTATTTAGCCTCCATGTGTTTGAATGTTTTGGGGTATTTTTACTGTAGTTCGTTTCTAATTTCATTCTACTGTGATCTGAGAAGATGCTTCATATGATTTCAATCTTCTTGAACTTGTAGAGACTTGGTTTGTGTCCTAACATGTGGTCTATATTTGTGAATGATCCATGTGCACTTGAGAATAATGTACATTCTGCAGCTTTGGGGTGAAATGTTCTATAAATGTCAGTTAACTCCATCTGATCCAGTGTATCCTTTAGAGTCACTATTTCCTTGTTAATTTTTTGTCTGGAAAATCTATCCAGTGAAGTGAGAGGGGTGTTAAAGTCCCCTACTATGACTGTATTGTTGATCTCTCCTTTAAAGTCCTCTGGAAGTTATTTTATATATTAGGTGCTCCTATATTGGGTGCATTATGTTTCCCAGGGTTATATCCTCTTGTTGGATCGATCCCTTTAGTATTATGTAGTGACCTTTGTTGTCTGTTGTGATGGACTTCATTTTGAAGTCTATTTTGTCACATATAAGCATTGCTACCCAACTTTTTTTCTTTTCTTTTCCATTTGCATGGAAAAGTTTTTTCCATCCCTTCACTCTCATCCTGTGTGAGTCTTTTGTTCTGAGGTGGGTCTCTTGTAGACAGCCTATAGTTGGGTCATGTTTGTATCTATTCAGCTACCCTGTGTCTTTTGATTGGAGCCTTTAATCCATTTACATTTAAGGTTATTATTGACTAGAGGCCTGGTGCACAAAAATTTGTGCACTGGGGGGGGGGGTCCCTCAGCCCGGCCTGTGCCCTCTCTCAGTCTGGAACCCCTCGGGGGATGACCACCTGCTGGCTTAGGCCTGCTCCCCAGGGGATTGGGCCTAAGCTGGCAATCAGACATCCCTCCGGCAGCCCAGCAGCCCTCGGGGGATGTCCACTTGCCAGTGGGGAGCAGACCTAAGCTGCAGTCGGACATCCTTAGTGCTGCTGAGGAGGCGGGAGAGGCTCCCACCACCACCGCTGTACTGGCAGCCATCAGCCTGGCTTGTGGCTGAGCAGAGCTCCCCCATGTGGGAGCGCACTGACCACCAGAGGGCAGCTCCTGCATTGAGCGTCTGCCCCCTGGTGGTCAGTGTGTGTCATAGTGACCAGTCATTCCCAGTCTTTCTGCTGTTAGGGTCAGTTTGCATATTACCCTTTTACTATATAGGATAGAGGCCTGGTGCATGGGTGGGGGCCAGCTGGTTTGCCCTGAAGGGTGTCCCGGATGAGGGTGGGGGTCCCGCTTGGGTGCCTGGCCAGCCTGGGTGAGGGGCTGATGGCTGTTTTCAGGCTGGCCACACCCCCTTCAGGGTGGGGGTCCCCACTGGGGTGCCTGGCCAGTCTGGGTGAGGGGCTGAGGGCTGTTTTCAGGCTGGCCGTCAACTGAAGCTTCCAGCCTCTCCTTTTTTTCTTTTTTTTTTATTCTGGGATTTATTTACCTTCTATAATTGAAACTTTGTTGCCATCACTGGCGTTCCCAGCTCTGAGGCCGCGGCTGGCTGAAAGCAGGTATCTGGGGTTTGTTTGGCTTCTATAATTGAAACTTTGTTGCCGTCCTGCTAGCTCCAGCTCTGAGGCCGTGGCCTGCTGAAAGCAGGTATCTGGGATTTGTTTAGCTTCTATAATTGAAACTTTGTTGCTTTCGGAGCTTAGAGCAGGGTGGCGGCAGGCAGGGAACCTTGGCTTCCTCCATCACTGGAGCAAGCAAACCTCCTGCTCACTTCAGCTGCGTGGCTGCCGGCCGCCATCTTTGTTGGCAGTTAATTTGCATATCTCGCTGATTAGCCAATGGGAAGCATAGCGGAGGTACAGTTAATTACCCTTTTTGTCTTTTATTAGATAGGATAGGTACTTACTTATTGCCATTTTAATTCTGTATGCCTAGGTTTCTCTCTCTATTTCTTCTCATCACAGCAGTCCCTTTAGCATTTTGTGTAATGCTGGGTTGGTGGTGATGTACTCCTTTAGTCTTTTTTTGGTCTTGGAAGCTCTTTATTTGACCGTCTATTTTTAATGATAGCCTTGCTGGATATAGTAAACTTGGTCTCAGATCCTTGCTTTCCATTATCTTGAGTACTTTCATTCCATTCCCTTCTGGCCTGTAGAGTTTCTGATGAGAAATCAGGTGTCAGCCTTATGGAAGCTCCTTTGTAAGTAATAGTTTGCCTTTTCTCTTGGTGCCTTTAAGATTCTGTCTTTGTCTTTAATTTTTGGCATTTTAATTATGATATGTCTGGGTGTGGGTCTGTTTGGGTTCTTCTTACTTTTAACTCTCTGTGCCTCCTGAACTTGTGTGACCTTTCCCTTTACTAGGTTAGGGAAGTTTTCTACACTTATTTCTTCAAACACATTCTCTATTCCTTTCTCCCTTTTTGCCTCTTCTGACACACCTATTATGTGAATATTGTTAGGTTTCATGTTGTCCCACAGCTCCCTTAAGCTGTCCTCCTGTTCTTTTAAATTTTTTTTTCTTTTTGGTTCTCTGGTTGAGTGATTTTTTCAACTCTGTCTTCTAATTCACTGATTTGACCCTCAGCTTCCCCTAATCTGCTGTGTATTCCTTCCAATGTGTGTGGGTTTTTTTTTAAGTTTTATAAGATTGTTTTTAGAAGTGAAAATTTATTTTTTTCAAGAAAAAATATTTTAAATATAAAAACCAAATGTGGCCCTAACCGGTTTGGCTCAGTGGATAGAGCTTCGGCTTGCGGACTGAAAGGTCCCAGGTTCAATCCCGGTCAAGGGCATGTACCTTGGTTGCGGACACATGCCCAGTAGGGGTTGTGCAGGAGGCAGCTGACCGATGTTTCTCTCTCATCGATGTTTCTAACTATCCCTCTCCCTTCCTCTCTGTAAAAAATCAATAAAATATATATTTAAAAAATAAACAAACAAAACCAGTGTGTTCTCTATTTGTGCTATGTCATTTTTATTTCTGTTTTTATAGTTACTATATCTTTTCTCATGCTGTTGAGCATCTTTACCATCATTATTCTGAACTCTATATCAAATAAATTTCTTATCTCCATTTCATTTATCTCTTCTGGAGAATTCTCTTGTTCTTTCATTTGTGGGTTTTTTCTTTGTCTCCTCATTTTGGCTGCCTGTTTGGGTTTGTGACTCTGTATTAGGTAGATCTGCTACCCCTCTCATTCTCTAGTGCAGGACAGTGTCAAATGCTGTTTCTAGCTAATTAGATCAGGCAAAGACTCAATGCTTCCAGAGACCCCTCTGCCTACAGCCTGATAGGATTCTGTCTTGAATAGCCCTCAGGCAATTGTCCACAGGTGTGGTGAGAGTTTTTTCAAGGGGTGGGGGCAATTGCTTCTGCCTGGAGGCTAATTGTTATTCTCAGTCTCTTAATGGGCCTCAGAAACACTCTGGGGCAAGGTGTTTTCCAATAGGGTTGTTCAGCTGTCTTCCCCCCAGGCAACACTGCCTGTATAGCAAATGTCTGCGAGAGTTTCCTTAAAAAAAAAAAAAAAAGATTTTAAGAGAGAGAAGAGGAGAGGGAGAGAGAAACATCAATAAGAAGGAAACATTGATCAGCTGCCTCCTGCACGCCTCCTTCCAGGGATGGAGCCCGTAACCTGGGCATGTGCCCTGACTGTGAATCAAACCGGCAACCTTTTGGTGCATGGGATGATGCTCAACCTACTTAGCCACACTGGCCAGGGCCCAGCACCATTTGCTGAAGAGACCATTCTTTCCTCATTGAGTGGTCTTGGCACCTTGTGAAAACCAGTTGATGGTAGATGTGTGGGTTTGTTTCTGGGCTCTTATTTCTATTCCATCAACCTCTATATTGTATATGTCTGTCCTCATGCCAGTACCACACTGTTTTGTTAACTGCAGCTTGGTAGTAAGTTTTTAACTCATGAAGTATGAGGATATTTCCTTTTATAGATGAAAAAGCTGGAGCTCAGGAAGGAGACATGTTCGCAGGCAGAGGAGCCTGTCCCTGTGCCCCAGTGGGAGGAGCTGAGCTGATAGGATGAATGCAGTTCGTTGGCCAATAGTTCTCTTTTTCAGAGGGGGGCCGTTGGGAATGATCAGCCATACTTTCCATATCCCCCCAAGTCCCCAAAACAGCAGGTAAAGTGCTGCTCCTGACTGAGGTCAGCAGCCACATCCCTTCCAGATCTCACATGGCCCAAAGATTCCATGTGGGCAGTGGAGAAAAGCCTCTCATAGGACCTCTGGGGCCCACTTCTACTATACCCTCTCACCTCCTCTTCCCTTTGTAGTGGTTGGATTGCAGCCCTGTCTACGCTGAAGCAAGACTTGGCTGTGTCGATCATCATGATGGTGGTAGCTGGCTTCTTCACACTCTGTGCTGTGCTCTCACTCTTCCTTCTAAAGCGGGTGAGTGGTGGGTGCCGGGCCAACAGCTAACCTGAGGAAGCAGGCTCCTCTCTCCAGCCTTGCCATGGGGGTGTTCATCACTACAGCAGTTGGGACTCCTATGTCCCCAAACGTCCAGTGGCTTTCTCCAAGGCTCTGGTGGGAGGTCAGGCAGGCATGGGTTCCTTGTGGGCCTACAGGACAGGCTTTTCTTACCACAGCCTTTTTCCCCAGGTGCACTCTCTGTACCGCCGGACTGGGGCCAGCTTCCAGCAAGCTCAAGAGGAATTTTCCCAGGGCATCTTCAGCAACAGGACCTTCCGCAGCGCTGCCTCATCTGCTGCCCGAGGAGCCTTCCAAGGGAATTAGTCCTGACTCTCTTCCCTGTGCCCCAGCCATTTTTCCTGCCTGCCTTCTGAGCTGCACTTTCCGTGGGTGCCTTAAGCAGTGCTATGGCCAGCACAAACCTGGAGAGGGTCTTGCTGTGGCTCTTCCTCCTTCCTCAGCAACCAGCTTTCCCTTCCACCCAAGGGAAGGGGAGGGTGGGACAGGAACTTTTTTTACATAAGAGAAAGGGGGAAAAAAAGTTTTTTCTTCTCTGGTGGTGGTTTGGTAGGATTCTTTTGTCCCTCTGAAGCAGTGGGACTGAAGTTCTCTTTTCCCTACACACACACACATGCACATATGTACACACTTGGGATCACTAGCCAACCTGGGCCCACCCAGCTGGCGTTGTATTTCTGCCCGGGTCCTGGGCCTCCACTCATCCCCTAGAAACCTGGCCTGAGTCTGGCTTCACAGCCCCAGCCTGTGGCTTCCATAGTCCTGCCCTCCCTTCCTGCTGGGCTGGGATGACCTCCCAAGGGCTCCCCTTTAGATGAGCTATGGCATGGGCTGGTGGACAGCTCTGTTCCCCCAGATCACTCTGATTAGGTCTCTGGGCTTCCAGAACCTCTGGCCGGTTCCTCAGCCTCTTCTCTGCTTCATGTCTCTCACAAACAGATTCATTGCCCTATCGGCCCCCTGCACCTTCCAGCTGTGGGCAGCACCCTGTGCCATCTGGGGCCCTCCCTGAACCCTCCCCTCCTTAGACTTACTGAATGTGCATTGGGGTTGGTTGGGATTTGGGGATGGGCAGGAACAGAGGACAACCTATGTTGTCCTGCCCAGCCTTTAACAATCTTCTAGGAGGAGTGTGTGTGACTGTCCCGGTGTGGGTTGTTTGTCCGTTTGTTTTGATTTCCTCTTCTCCTGGGGGACAGCTGTGCTCTACCTTGGCCTCACATTCTAACCATTTGTTCCCACATCAGCAATATCTAGCTTGTATGACTCTTAGGAAGGGCAGGTGGAATCAGTTCAGAACTGAATCCTTCAGACTGGTCTCATGAGCCAGGGTTCCAGACTCATCCTCCAGGGTTCTCCCATACCCCGAGTAGGAGTAGAGTCTAGGTCACCTTCCACTAGTCCTAGGGATTCCCCAGGAAGCGTGTCACTGTGATGAGCACCTAGGAGTCCACCATTAACACCTGCACCCTGCCCTGCTGTGGACTGAGGGAACTTCTCAAAAAGCAGGCCAATCCAGAGGCAGCCCTGTCTATAGCCCACTCCACTCCAGAGCCACTGAATGATGATTTAATGACAGTGACCAAGGTTTTGTAAATTTCTGGTACTTTTTTTCTCCATGTACAAATGTATATGTTGTTTCAATTTTGTGCTTAAATAAAGACATTTTCAGACAACACTGGCTCTAATGTCTGCTGGACTTGGATGGATGTGCATGGCCCCCAGGAGTAGTGGCTGAAGTGCTCTATCTGTAGGTGTGAGGGGTCCGTCAACATGCTGCCTGTGCTAGGGGCAGGGGCCTGACAAAGAAGAATTACTAAGTAGGCTGAGGGGCAGGGACCATGGGAGAGAAAAATTGCTAATTATCTCGCCAGAAAAGCAATGTGTTATGATTGAACCCAGCCAGGTGTGACCCTGCTTGTAAATTTTATGTAAACTTTTTACCCTGCCAGTACCAGGAACGGCTAATGAACCTCTTTGCAGTTTGTTTTTTCTTTTTTTAAAAAATACTTTGAAGTCTTTGCAGATAAAAGGTCTTGCTGTACTCTCGGACAGCACTGCAAGCTGTGGGACTCTTACGAGAGGGACAGAGCTGGTAGTCAGCTGGCCAGCTTAATAAAGGCTCTTAAAATTTAAATTCCGAGTCGGTGGTCTATCTCGCTGAGCCAACCCATAACACTGCCCTCCCCCGTCTCTGGCTGGTCTGTGACAGGCTAAGCCTCTCACCCCTGGGGGAAAGTCCCTTCCTGAGATAACTATTGGCCTCTTCCATTATACTTTTTTAAATTTTTTAAAAAAATATTCTCACAGATTTTATTGATTTGAGAGAGAGAGAGAGAGAAACAGATTTGTTGTTCCACTTAGGTGTTCATTGGTTGATTCTTGTATGTGCCCTGACGGGATGTCTGCAACCTTGGCACATGTCCCAGTAATTCCACTTTCAGAGCTGCTGGTCTTGGGAGGAGGGGCCTCTTTGAATCCCCTGCCCCCCTCACCCTTCTTGATCCTCTCGTGGGCGATCTCTAAGATCGTAACGGAGCCCAAATGGGATTCCTGATGACCTCGTGTGCTGGTCTCTAGTTCCTCCCTTTGGCCCGAGGGGGCCTCAGCATCCTCACGTGGATCTTGCGGATCATGTGATTTCTAGTGCTGACGGCGGCGAGGAGGGGCAGCACTCACCCGAGCCGCGCAGAAAGCAGCGGGAGGAAGAGTCTCTAGGACCCGGGAGCCTGGCCCCGCCCCTCCGGGTGCACTTCCGGCGGCTGCGAGGAGTCGGGCAGTTGCTGCGCGCGCTCTTCCGCTCTCCGCGCTGGACTCCGGGCCGGAACCCGCCCCGGGAAGCAGGAAGCGCCCGGTGGCTGGCGCGGGGTGGTCAGGATGGCGGGGTCCAGCTGGGGTCCCCCGCGGCTGGATGGCTTCATTCTCACCGAGCGCCTGGGCAGTGGCACGTACGCCACGGTGTACAAGGCCTACGCCAAGGTGGGGGCGAGGCGCAGCCGGAATCGGGCTTGAGAACCTCTGAGCGCCGGGCCGCGTGCCCGCCAGACCCTGAGCGAGCCCAGGCGGGTGGCAGGCTGGGAACCCAGGGAGGTTAGGGCCTGAGAGCAGTTAGGTACCGCGGCCAGACTTGTCCCGATCTGGTGTTCGGTGGACGAGGTGGGAGCTGACTCCCCCCCATAGGTCTTAAAAACAAACACGTACACACAAACACGTACCCACACCTGTGTTTTGTTTGGAGCTGCAGGTGGAGACCTGGAGGGAGCCTCGTGTCAGTGTCTTAAGAATGGGCTCAAATGTATTCATTGGTTGATTCTTGTATGTGCCCTGACTGGGAGGACACCTGGTGGGCTGGGAGGAGTCTTGGACAGGGTTCTGGAAGGCTGGACCCACTTAGGAAGCAATCTGGGCAGTTCTAGAACATGGAATGAAGGACATGCCTTAGTGGGAGCACTCTAGAAGGGCTCATGGGACTAAGGGAAGAGAGGGTTTAAGAACACCAGGCTGGGTGGGGAGGCCAGAATCCCATAATCAGGGGTTCTCATTAGCCTGAGAAGGGGAAGGTTGGATGCTGGTGTGAGTGGGTAAGCCCAGTGAGGGGGAGAAGGGTAGAGGGAATCAGAGCCTTTCTGGCCAGGCATGGGCCCTGGCTTGCTCAAGGTAGAGCCCTCAAATCTCCTGCCTCCGTAGAAGGACACTCGAGAGGTGGTAGCCATAAAATGTGTGGCCAAGAAGAGCCTGAACAAGGCATCCGTGGAAAACCTCCTGACAGAGATTGAAATCCTCAAGGGCATTCGACACCCCCACATCGTCCAGCTGAAAGACTTCCAGGTGCGGGCCTGTGGTTCAGCCACCCGCAAAGGAGACTGGAGAAGAGACACTCCCTTCAAGTTGCCTTTTTGCCTCTAACCACAGTGGGACAGTGACAACATCTACCTCATCATGGAGTTCTGTGCAGGAGGTGACCTGTCTCGCTTCATCCATACCCGCCGGATTCTGCCTGAGAAGGTGGCTCGTGTCTTCATGCAGCAGATAGGTAAGAACCTCTGACCCCAGATTTCCCATGGTCTCTGTCCTCCCTCTGCACCCGACCCAGGCTCGGAGCCGCTGAGCTCTTAGTTGCCTCCTTTCCCAGCTCGGATTTATAGGCCCTGTCTTTGCCATGTGCCCATCCCTAGCTTAAGGCTGTTACTAGAGAAAGGTAGGACCCTTAAGCTGTAAGAAGTCCAGATTTTCTACATGCAGAAGATAATAGAAAGACCTTGTAGGACACATCAGGGCCCACTGGGTTGTATCTAAGTGCTTTGCCAAAAGAAAGAGCAAAAGTCGAAAGGGCTGGGGCACCCAGGGAGGCTTCTAGGAGGAGAGGAGACTTGCAGAGGGGCCCAAGGGAGGAAAGATGGCACTGGGGGTGGGAGTGGGGGGTTCTTAGAAGTGGCAGGAACCTGGTACTTTTATGTAAAGCATTCAGAAGGCCAGAACTGGGGTCATGCAGGCTTGAAGAAGCAGATGTAAGTCAGGGAAGGCGAGAGGCAGGTGGGAGATGGGTCCCTCTGACCTGTTTCTCTGCATGTGTCCTGTTCCCCAGCTAGTGCCCTGCAGTTTCTGCACGCACGAAACATATCTCACCTGGATCTGAAGCCACAGAACATTCTGCTGAGCTCCTTGGAGAAGCCCCACCTTAAACTGGCAGGTGTGAGTCTGGAACAGCAGGGGAAAGCTGGGCCTGGGTCTCCACAACAATCTGTGAGCTGTTCTGGGTCCTTAGAACTGAATGGAGCTTCAGGGTTTGGAGGGTGGGTGTGCACTCAGCAGCCCTGGTTCTTGTGGCGCCCTCTATCAAGTCATCCAACAGCAACAGGCTGGGAGATCCAGAAACGGGCCCCATCACCAAAAGGTAGGGCCTTTCTCAGCCATCCACACTGGATTCCAGCAGTGTAATGCTTGGGATCAGGGCCAGGACTTGGTGGGTCACCAGAATTGAAGCTCAAGCTGTAACTCAACCTGCAGCAGTGTTGGAGGGAGTTAGGTGGGGGAGGGGTGGTTGTGGTCCCTGATAGGATTTGGAAAAGAATTTGCTTGAGGCTAGAGAGGGTATAACCTGAGCTTGGTGGGACAGTGAGCCATTATCTTCATAGCTGATGTGAGCAGGGTGGGCTTCCTGGAAAAGTACCTGAGGGGGGCTGTGTGTGATGGGTAGGACTTATGCCCCCACTGAAAGATGCAGGAGGGTGTTGGAGGTTAATAATTAGCTAAGACTGGGAAGTAGGATTGATCCTGGTGAATCTGGAAGGTGGGGAGGAGTCCTGTGCTGGAGCTCAGGGTAAGGCTTCAAAGGCCAAGAGCAGAGGCAGCTGGAATTTGAGCCCTGCTGCCTGGCCTCTTGCCTGCAGACTTCGGCTTCTCACAGCACATGTCCCCGTGGGACGAGAAGCATGTGCTCCGCGGCTCCCCTCTCTACATGGCCCCCGAGATGGTGTGTCAGCGGCAGTACGATGCCCGTGTGGACCTCTGGTCCGTGGGGGTCATTCTGTATGGTGAGAGCTCTGTCCCCTGCCCCCACCCTGTGAGGCCTGCACTGTGTGTCCTCAGGCATGCCCTCCCTGGCCACTCCTGAAGGGCTTTAATGAGAAGGCTGACTTTAATGGCCCTGAGCCCCTGCTCTGGGGGTTATCAGGCCCTCCCAGGAGTGGGCCAGGCCAGGCTGCACCCTGTCCCTCCCAGCTTGCCCTCTGCCTCCCTCCACAGAAGCCCTCTTCGGGCAGCCCCCCTTTGCCTCCAGGTCGTTCACAGAGCTGGAAGAGAAGATCCGGAGTAATCGGGTTATCGAGGTGGGTCCTGCAGGGCCTCAGCAACCTGTTGTGGGACAGGGGGAAGCAGAGCCCTCAGGTTGGAGACCTCACTATCCCTGCACGGACTGGGGTGTGGGCTCTAGGTACCTTGTGGTGCTGGGTGTGCTTGAAGCTCCATTCAGTTCTAGGGACCTAGATCAGCCCACAGATTGTGTAGACCCAGGCCCAGTCTTCCCAAAAGCATCAGCCTGGGAGGGGAGAACCCGAATTAGGATTCTACGACAGCTCAGGGCTCCAGGGAGGGCGTGGGCAGGAGCCTGGGCAGGAGGCTTGGCTCTCTACTGCCTTCATCACCCAGACGTGTCACTGTTCCTCTTGGCTCTCAGATTCTCCACCTGTCAGACATGTACCTCTGGGACATACCAGGACAGGGTTGGGGAGGTTCTGGAGCCCAGTGTGACCTGTCCCCCACCCTCCCCTCAGCTTCCCCTTCGGCCCCAGCTCTCCCCAGACTGCCAGGACCTGCTGCGGCGGCTCCTAGAGCGGGACCCTGGTCGTCGCATCTCCTTCCAGGACTTCTTTGCCCACCCCTGGGTGGACCTGGACCACATGCCCAGTGAGGAGAGCCTGGCACGAGCAGTGAGCAGGCCACTAGGGATGGGCTGGGGTGAAGGCAGGTTGGGGGTCTCATCTACACTTTTTGGTGGTAAACAGGGGGCTTGCCCCCAGGGGGACGAGGATGGGCTCAGGGGACCTGCTGTTCCCACTTTATGGTGAGCAGAGGGGTGGGCATGACTCCCTGATCTGCCCATCCTCCAGACCATCCTGGTGGTGCAGGCTGTGAAGAAGGACCAGGAGGGGGATGCTGCGGCTGCCTTATCGCTCTACTGCAAGGCTCTGGACTTCTTTGTGCCTGCCCTGCACTGTAAGTGCATAGAGCTCTGGGTGTAGCAGGGGCGGGTGGCCATAGCTGCTGTGGATGGATTCCAGAAGCGTGTCCCCATTCATAATTTTATGGGAGACAAGGCAGAGGATAAATCTAGAACTTAGAGCTTTTGAGGATTCTAGAGGGTTTGGTGTGTGGCAAGGTCCTCATATAAACCACCACTGTTTGCAGACGAAGTGGATGCACAGCGGAAGGAGGCAATTAAGGCAAAGGTGGGTGAGCAAGTCCCCTGGAGGAAACTGATGAGGGGTTCTGGGGCTGCCTGAGACTGGCTCTCTTAGAACCGGGACTTCCTGTCCTGGGAAGGGGTCAGGCCGGGCCCTGACATTTCAGCTTGGGACAGTCACTGAGGACCTAGGGCAGTGATGGCGAACCTTTTGAGCTCGGCGTGTCAGCATTTTGAAAAACCCTAACTTAACTCTGGTGCCGTGTCACATATAGAAATTTTTTGATATTTGCAACCATAGTAAAACAAGATTTATATCTTTGATATTTATTTTATATATTTAAATGCCATTTAACAAAGAAAAACCAACCAAAAAAATGAGTTCGCGTGTCACCTCTGACACGCGTGTCATAGGTTCGCCATCACTGACCTAGAGGGAGAACTTGCATGTGGATGCTGGCGAGGGAGGCAGGGTGGGACAGCCCCTCCACAGCCCCTCCTCCTCAGCCCCTCGTGCTCCTGCAGGTGCGACAGTACGTGTCCCGGGCTGAGGAGCTCAAGGCCATTGTGTCCTCCTCCAATCAGGCCCTGCTGAGACAGGGGGCCTCTGCCCAAGACCTGCTCAGAGGTAGGCCCAGCTCCTGACTGACCACCAGGCTCCCAGGCGGGTTGGGGTCAGCTCCCTGAGATGAGAAAAGCTGCTCCCCTCACCCTGAGCCTTTGCCCTTCATCCCAGAGATGGCTCGGGACAAGCCACGCCTCCTGGCTGCTCTGGAAGTGGCTTCAGCTGCTGTGGCCAAGGTTTGTACCCAGTGGGAGGGGTCCAGGTGGGGCAGGGAGGAATCGAGATCATGACCCTAAATGACTGGTGTCTCTGTGGCTGCAGGAGGAGGAAGCTGGTGGGGAGCAGGACGCCCTGGACCTGTACCAGCACAGCCTGGGGGAGCTGCTGCTGCTGCTGGCAGGTGAGGCCCTCACCACCACACTCCCTGACTCCCTGCTGCCCTGCCCTTAGCACGCACCCTCCCTCTTTTTGCAGGGGAGCCCCCAGGCCGGAGGCGGGAACTGCTTCACACTGAGGTGCCCACCGGGGTTGGGTGGGTTGTGGGGGGCTTCATCTTCCCCTTTGACCCTCCTTCCATCTGGGAGGACCTTCTTGGGTTCCCTCGGGGTGTTTCAAGTCTGGGAGTCAGACCTTACAGACCTGATAGGTTGTTGGCCACATGGGTTCATAGGGGCTAGGAGCTCAGGTCAGGCAGTGGGACGGGCAGGATCAGGGGACCCAGCAACAGAAAACTGGCTGGGCCACTTCAGTCATGAAGGCTTTCTGGAGGAGGGAGCAGATAAAGGACACAGAATGCAGTTGTTCTGGGGCAGGGGGTTCTAGAGAGCAGCAGGAGTGAGGAGGGTCTCACTCTGAGGGCCCCACCCCCAGCCCCATAGGCACGTATGTCTTCCCTTGGCAGGTTCAGAACCTCATGGCTCGAGCTGAATACCTGAAAGAGCAAGTCAAGGTGAGCACATGGGAGGTCCCATTGGGGCAAGGCTGTGTGGTTTCTGCTCCTCTGCTTGTAGCTCTCTGCCCCCCCTTGTCCCCCGTGTGTCTCCCTTTCCGGGTTCCATCTGCAGGCCTCTCCACTGCTGTCTCTGTCTTTCACTCCCAGTTGCCCTGGGACTGTTGATGCGGCTCCTTTGCCTGCCCCTGGCTGCCTGTCACCTCGGTGCCACCTTTTTGTCCCACAGATGAGGGAGTCTCGCTGGGAAGCCGAGACCTTGGACAAGGAGGGGCTGTTGGAGTCTGTCCGGACCTGTGAGTCCTGCCTAGGGTCCTACCCTCTGCCCCAGGAGGAGTGAAGGCCAAGGGCAGCCCTGGATTCTGCCTTGTTTGCCAGAGACCTGACACTGACCCTTCTCCCTTACCCCTCCACAGCTTGCACCCTGCAGTGACCACAGAAAGATGACTGCACAGACCATGGGCCACCTGAAGTTGGGGGACACACCTAGGCTGCTGCCCAGAATTCTGTGGCCCTCTGCAGCCTGGCGGGGTAGCCTTCCTGGATGGGCAACCCTGTGAGCACTGCGTCCCAGGGTCCCTAACACCCTCAGGATGCCCTCCACCCCACAAAGGCTCTGATGGCCCAGCCCTTTATGGGCTGGGAGCACTGGGTCTGGCCCCAGGGGAGGGAGCAGGCCTCTGGGAGAAGTGTCTCATGTGACTGTGGTTAACTGGTGACTGCTGGACCCTGAGCCTGTCATTTTAGGGCATGAAGGCTCAGATGTAGCCTGTGCCCACCCCTTTCCTTCCTGGGAGCCCTTATTTCAACTCGCCTCTGTCCTCGCAGTGGACCAGGGCGCTCAGGGACCACCCCCCCATGGTCTGCACTCAGCCCCACAGAACACCAGTCATCTTGGAAGCTGATGTCTGTCCACCCTGTCTCAGTATTTTAAGTTAATCCTGCAAGCCATGAAAAGAATATATTTTGAAGGATGGGGCAAATTGAAGAAACTCATGCCTGTTCCTGCCCTGCCCCAGAGGGTCTGCGGGGAGGTCCTTCATCCTCACCCCTCCAGCCTTCATCTCCCTTTAGGGAGCACCCCTTGTTTTCTGCAGAGCTGGTCCTGGACTGGAACAGGGAGGCATGGGGCCTGCCCGACTCCTCAGGTTTTGGAGACCCACTAGCCCAGGAGACATTTCAGGGCTGACATGGCTGCCACCCCGCCTGTGCCCTGGGCAAGCACCTTTCCTTTTCTGGGCCTGGGTCTTCCCAGCTCCATTGGTGTTGCTGTTATCTCCTAACCCCCTCCCCCCATGTGGGCTTTTGGGAGTACCAAGTGACTTCCATCTGGAGAACAATGTATATACCTGGGGTTACTTGGGGACTTGTTTTTAAAACTCTGGCTGTTGGTGATTTCTAACCTTTCCACCCTTCAGTGCCTCCTGGGGCAAGGGTCGTCTTTTCTGCTCTATCAGAGGCCAGTATGAAGTGTATCATTTATTGTTTCCTTATTAAATTATTTTTTGAACTTGTGATTCTTTTCTTGCCCTTGAAGAAGAGAAGGAGTAGGTCAAGGCAGGCAGCCCCTTTTCCTAGGCTAGTGCTATAGGGACTCCAGGAATAACAGGGTAACCTGAGAGAGGGCTGGGGGAGGCCACAGGGTGGTGGGGGAGTGATCGCCACATTGCCTTCTGCCCTCAGGCCCCAGGAGAGTCAGGCTGACCGGCTGCTGTTCCTGCCCGCCACCTAAGGGACTAGTGGGAAGGGGACAGGCACAGGCCTGGGTGCCAGGCAATGCCCTTCCTCTGTGCACCCGGAGAAGGGTGGACTCCATGGCAGGAGCACAGTCCTGTAAAACCTCTGCTCTGCGCTGCACAAGCCGTTGCCCCACACAGGATCCCTGGCCTCCCACCCCTCTTTCCCTTGGGCCAGTGAATGAGCAGGGTTGGGGCAAAGGGCATTCTCTAGGGCAGTGGTCCGCAAACTGCGGCTTGGCAAACTGCGGCTTGGCAAACTGCGGCTTGGCAAACTGCGGCTTGCAAGCCACATGCGACTCTTTGGCCCCTTGAGCGTGGCTCTTCCACAAAATACCACGTGCGGGCACGCACGTACAGTGTGATTGAAACTTCATGGCCCATGCGCAGAAGTCGGTATTTTGTGGAAGAGCCACACTCAAGGGACCAAAGAGCCGCATGTAGCTTGCGAGCCGCAGTTTGCCGACCACGGCTCTAGGGTATCTCATACTCAGCCCTCCAGGAGCCCCCAAAAGCTGGGGTAATTCCCAGCAGTCCCTACCCCACCCACAAGGTCTTGGTCTTAACAGCCCTTAGAAGCATCTTTGGGGACTTAGGGGATAGGAAGGCCCCCCCCACCCCCGCCCCAGGGAAGCACCAAGGCAGCAGTTCATAGAGTTGTCAGATGCCAACCATGAAGATCACCTTCCAGCCAACATGAAAGGGAGGGAATTATTTTCCCTGAAGTCCTTGGCCTGGCTGTGAGGGGCAATGTAGAGCAGTGGTCCAGAAGGCAGGAGGCAAGGCTAAAATCCTGGCTCTGCCACTTGACCAAGAGACCCATTGACTAACCCAGTGATTTTCAACCCCTTTCATCTCATGGCACACATAAACTAATTACTAAAATTCTGCAGCACTCCAAAAATATTTCTGCTGATCTGACCAAAAAATATGTGTAATTTTCGTTCATTTACATCAGGTGGCTATTGTCTTTTTTTTAAATTTGACAATCTAAGAAAAAGAGGTCAGTGCCCCTGACTAAATAGTCAGGTATTGCATATTTTTAAAATTATTGCTGCACACAGGTTGAAAATAGCTGGACTGACCCATTTCTCAGTTAAACTAGGATGCAGTGAAGGGCCCTGTAGAAATCTCGAAGATGGTAATGAGTTACTGTACACTAGCCTGGCACACAGTAAGATTCAATAAATCATTATTTTCAGATGTAGGGAGAGAAATGTACTTCAGATTATCTTTGGGCATGGGCTGGACAAAAAAAGCCTCAGTAAGTAAAAGGAAGGAAGGGAATGAATGGAGCTGGTTGTGGGGGTGAATGGGGAAGATTGAATGGGAAGGAGAGACTGATTGACTAGGATGATGGGATGGAGGGGTTGGTCTACAGGCCCCAATTATTTCTGATATCTGCATTGACTACCTGCCAACAGGGCACTGGACAGGTGGGACTGTGGGGGATTGGGCCCTCTCTGGGCAGAGTGTTTGGGTGCCTCCACGCTGGTCCTGTATTTGGGCCACCTGCCAAGGAGGGAAACAGCCCAGCCAGAGAGCTAAGGTCGGGAGGAGGTGGGTTCACTCTCTAGGGCTCCCTTCGAATGGCAGAGACGTATGAGGAATAAGCCAATCTGCTTTAAAAAAAATTTTTTTTGTTTTATTGCTTAAAGTATTACAAAGAGTATTACATAGGTCTCCTTTTTTTCCCCCCTTGACCTTCCCCCGGCTTCCTCTACGCCCCAGTGTCTTGTGTCCATTGGTTATATGCATGCATACCCAATCTGCTTTTTTAAAAAAAGACTTTTCTCTCTAGGGGTAGGAGTTGTTTCTGCCTCTCATCTTTAACACTTTGAAAATGCCCAAAGCAGGGCAGACACTTCCCCAGCATCAGGGTGCCTCACCCTGCCCTGTCCTCCCACCTCCACTCAGTCCCCCAAGTCAAAGCCAGTCCTGGGCCAAGCTGGGGAGCACCTGGGCCTGGGACCCACTGGCTCCCATGGGACCAGCCCTGGGGACAGCAGATGGGCCTTGGGCAGATTGAGGGACCCAGGTGTCCCTGTGCCCAGCCTGTCCCTTTCTTGACTAACGGGAGTTTCGGAAGGTCATTGAACCATGGTTCCTGCAAGTCATCTAGGAGGACTCTTATCCCCAAAGACCACTGAGGCTGGGGCACGCTTTCCCTAGAGTAGCTCATACCCATACTTACCCACTTGAAGTATCATAGATACACACACACAGACACTAACAGGCCACAGGCCTCAGCACATACAATAACACCGAAGCCACGTCCAAGCTCACAGACGCAGGCAGATTTCACGTAGACTTCTACTCATGCTCACACACACAGGCACGTCCCTGCTGAGCAAGGCTAAGGCAGCCTCAATGCTGCTGCTCCCCGACCCAGCTCACCCTGGCCTCTGCTCTCTTGGAGCCTCACATGGGTTCTGGGAACAGCTATGCCTGGTGGGTACTGAACTAGAGGCAGGTAGCAGGCTTTGTGGCTTTCTCCCAGTCCCCTCGCATGTAGTTCCCCACCCCAAGCAGCCTCAGGCATCAGCTGGACCAATAGGCTCTGCCAGCAGCTCTGGCATAGCACACACTCCCCCAGATGTTCCCAACTCGCTGGGAGCCTCCAGTGTCTGAGGGGGGACCATGGCCACTGGGGGGAGAGGGAGCCTCCCAACTCCAAACCCTGTCACCATCCTCCCCAAGTCCACCCTGGGGCCAACTGGCCCCTGGAGAGTCTCCCTCTGGGAACTAGGCCTGAGCTATCTGGATGGGTAGAAGGAGACTTGAGTGGAGCAGGTACCAGGGTTTGCCACCAATCCCCTGAAATCCCCCATGTCATGGGGCTAGAGAACCTAAGGGTGGGGGTGAGGGGGAGCAGGCCAGCCATCTTTGCTGTCACTCTCTTCCTGAAAGAGTGGTGGTGAGGGGGTGCGGGGTGTGTGTGTGTAGAGGAACTGTATCATCACCTTTCAACATTTCCTGTATCTTCAGACTGCCTGCAAAGCTGAGAAGGACAGTGAGAAGGATGAAAGAAAGAGAACAAGAGGGAGAGGAGGAGAGGACCTGGGGAGGTAAATGCTTTACTCTAAACTATGGGGCCTTATTGGTGGGATTTTAATCACTGTGAAAAGGGAAGTTCTGGTAGCAGGTGGCTTTCTTTGTTGTCCTCACATAATATCAGGTGGACTAGTCATGGAGCAAGTAATTATCTAAATAAATGGGAGTAGAAATAGGATGTGAAGAGGGTGTCCTCAGTAGGCCCCGAGGGCTTAGAAATGAGGCAGGTGGGTGGGTGTAAGATGGGTATGAACCAGGAATGAGCCAGAGAGCAGGGACATAGATGAGAGGGGCATGGACTGCCAGAGAAGCCAGAGAGCAGGGGAAGGAAGGGTGAGGGGAGGCAGGGGGAGGCCAGCAGAGCTTGGGACCCTCAGTCTGCTTTCCTTGCCCATTTCGGCCTGAGCAATGGAGCTGGCTCCTGCTACCTCAGAGCCTCCTTTCCCCAGTTCCAGGAACATGCAGGCAGGTCAGGGCTTCTTGGGGTTCCCAGCCTGTGAGGAGAAAACCAGTGTGGGGGCTCAACCTCCTCCCTGACCCCAGATTCCAGCCATTCTCTTTGGTGAGGGTTCAGTGAACACTAACCCTAGCCTCCTCACAGCCATGTCCCCCTGCCTCTTTCACCCTTGGTCCTGTAAACCACTGGGGGTAAAGGGGTCTGTCCGACCCATCAGGCAGGAGGCCCCTGGAAGGTGGAGTGCTGACGTGGGCCTTGCTGCAGTTAAAGAATGAGTTATTGCCCTGACCGGTTTGGCTCAGTGGATGGAGCATCAGCCTGCGGACTGAAGGGTCCCAGGTTCGATTCCAGTCAAGGGCATGTATCTTGGTTGTGGGCACATCCCCAGTAGGGAGTGTGCAGGAGGCAGCTGATCGATGTTTCTAACTATCCCTCTCCCTTCCTCTCTGTAAAAAATCAATAAAATATATTAAAAATAAAGAATGGGTTATCATTTATTAATGTAGCCTATCATGTGCCCAGTGCCCATGTCCCCGCACACACACAGCCTGGGGCCCCGGGTTGGGTCTCCTCCAGCTTCAGGAAGCTCAGGAGGGGTTTTTGTCCAGTGACAACCTGGGGACAGCCTAGGCCCGGGGATGCTCAAGGAGGACCTAACATGACAGCCACAACAGCACTGTCCCGATCCTGGGCCTGTGTCCTTCCCTGCTCTCACCCTCCTGATTCCTCATCCTCTCGTCTCTCTTCCACCTGACATTCCCCACATCACCTACTGCACAGGTTTTATGCGCCTTGTTCTTATTTTGCAACGGAGGCCCTAATGGAAACCAAACCCTCCGATGGCCGTTCCGCCTGTAAGTCTTCTCCACAAGCTGGTGCCAGGGGTGGGGTGGGGTGGGGGAGATGTTGATACCTCGTTCCTGTTCAGGCCCCTGATGGCCTGCTTGTGGAGCCTCCTGGTTGGTTCCCCGGACACTACACAGGTGAGCATGATGATATTTGGGCTCTTCAGTTATTTTAAAGAATGAGTTATCATTTATTGATATGGCCTATCATGTGCCAAGTGCTTTACAAATGGTCACCCTTTGAAACATGTATTATTTTTTGATGGGGGGGTGGGGGCTCTTCATTTCACAGGGGAGAAAACAGGCTCAGAGAGGGAAAGGGACCTGTTCAAAGTCACACAGCAGTGCCAGAGCTGGAATGCAGTTGTCCTGCCTTCTTTTTGTCATACCTTCCATCTCCAAGGTAAGGAGTTGCCAG